GGCCTGGCGGCCAGCATGTCTGGGCGGTCGCGTGGGAGGGCCTGGGAGTTTTCTTAAAAGTCGAAGGAACCTCAGCCCCCAGGCATCCGGCCTTGGCCTTCTAGCGCTCCGAGACACAGGACAAAATGAAGTTTCCAACCCAGACCCTACCCCGCTGCCGAACAGCCTTCAAAAGGTTCTCAAACCAGCAGAGAAACTCAGCTCTACAGGACTCTCCACAGAAAAACCTTGTTTTGACCATGCAACCCTAGTCCTGGCTATGACACCCCAGGTGCACAGCCAGTAAATCCCAGGTGTGTGGGGAGAAGTTACAGAAGGGTAGCTTTTGGTGCTCGCCCTAAGGCGCTCTTTGACCGGTTATGGATTCCTTTTGTGATGTTGGAGGTCATATTCCACCCGGTACAGGCCGTTCAGGGCTGGAGAAAAGCCAGCTGAACCCAGTGACTCAACCCCCTTGGAATGTGCCTGGAATAATAATGGGGACTTGAAAGGTTTTTATGGCCGAGGTAGCTGAAGGAGACAAGGCTCTCGCGCCTGCAGTTGGCGGACGGCCGAGGGGGGCAGTATTTCCTTTTGCAGTGCTGCTGTGCCTGCAAACAAGACAAAAATAGTCGGAGTATCTGGTTTAAATCAACCAAAAAGCATTTCTATCAGGTTAAACCACCATCCTGCAAGGCTGACAGAACAGGACAAGCCAAGTATATTCCCAGTACTCTTTTAACACTCCCGTACTAGCTAAACCCAATCATATTTTACCTTTGAGATTTCTAAGTGTCCTAACGTACAACTGTCGTTATTTTAAAGATGTTGCAAATTAAACTTCCTTTTCTAAGGTTGTGGGTGGGTATGTGCTCAAGCCCTTACATTTGCAAGCAATACTCTGAATATGTTGCCTATTTAAAAAATAGATGTTGAACCGTGAGGCCCTAGAAGAGTAAAAAAAAAAAAAAAAAAGTGAGGCCAACATATGGGTTGCTTACACTACTAAATATATAGCTGCATTTCCCTCCCGTAACGCCCTACTCAGAATTCCAAAAGCAAGTTGGAACAAAAGGAAAACGTGTCTGAGTGTAAAGAGAGAACTTGTGCCAAGAATTACAGTCACAGGGTAAATAACCTTGTTTTCTCCTTCATCAGTGGCCGCTACCAAACCCTGTTCTTGGAAGGTGGCCAACAGTCTGTCTGGTGGAGGGTGCTGCTAATTAGAGAGAGCCCATAAACCTCTCTGTCAAAGAGGGCATATGACCTTCCCTTCAAGTCTAAACAATAAAGCTGGCGAAGTGCAGACAGCACGCAACGCTGGCTGCCCTGCGGATTCCCTAAATAGGAACAGGATGAGGCCAGGCTTAAGAGGTTACCATAGTTCTGCTCTCACACTTTGAGGAATCGGTCACTCCACTTCCCAGTATAACTTGTTTCAATTACTCTGTACAATCTATTTAGAGGAGAGCAGCTTGCAGAGAGAACTCATTGTCTAATCTAAATGAGGAAGCAATTACTTGCTGCAGTCTAATGTACTTTGAGACTGTCAGGTCAAATATCAACCAGATCTCATGTAACTTTACTTTGCACTTTGGAAGACATATCCTTTTAATAATAATAATTTTTCCCCTGCTTTTTTGAAACCTTTTTTTTTCTATTAAGGTTACAAAATTAAGTTCTTTTTCCCCCTCCTGAGATTTCAAAATATTTTCTAATTTTAGAATTTGTTGTTGCAAGGTAAAGACCACAACCTCTTTTGTACATCGCTTGTTAAATATTTAAAAAATTTATTTTTTTGCTTTTTTTAATAGGCATCTTCTCAGAATAGCAAATAGAGTTCCCAAGTCTTCCCTTCTTTGTCTAATTTACCTCCCCAGGAGCCCCCTGCAAGCTTTAATTTTATACATGTTGTAAACTATAAATAATACAGTTCTGCTTTCCTATACCATATGGAAACTGTCACCTGCTATATATCCTAACTGTACTTGCTTTCAACTTAAAGACTGAATATAATTCATCTCCTGTGTAAAAAGGCATTTGGCCCTTTCTGTGTGTTTTTAGTTAAAACTCAGTATGGAACATCTCGCATGAAAATTCTTCTCGTTGTCAACAGAGCACATAAAAGGGTTTACAAGGTGTGGTTTGAAGGGAAGAAGCCATGGAGCAAATGCTGGTGGGAAGGCAAGGAAGGAAGGAAAGTACTTCTTGAGAGGATACTCCTCCAGTTTAAGCTGCATCCTCTGTTCAAATCTCTTCCTGTTTGTCTGAACCAATAATTGATAATAAATTTTGTCTTTATTTTTCCTTGATCTCCAGTGAGCTGTCCTGCCCTGCAAATTTGGGACTCGCCAGCCTTCACAATTGCATGAGCCAATTCCTTAAAATCAATCTTTCTTTCTCTATATATGCGTGTTTAGTCATGTACTGCATAAAGACATTTGGTCAACGATGAACCACATATACCAAGGTGGTCCTAGAATATAACAGAACTGAAAAGTTCCTATCACCTAGTAGCCCATAGTACCATGTAGTAGGCTATACCACTGAAGATTGTTAAGGGCACTTTATGATGTTCACACAATGACAAAATCATGTAAGGAGGCATTTCTCAGATTGTATCCATGTCGTTTATGCAGTGCAAGACTGTATATAGGTCCTTGAATAATATTTTGTTCAGTGTTGTTTTGTTGTAACATTGATGAAGAAAAAAAAATAGTTCCTTGCCCTGTCTGTATGGTTTTTCTCCGGGACTCTGGTTTCCTCCTACCTCCCAAAGTTGTGCATGTGAGGTGAACTGGTGTGTCTAAGTGGTGCCAGTCTGAGCGAGTGTGTAGGTGTGGGTGTAAACACACCGTAATGGAAAGGCGTCTTGTCCAGAGCTGGTTCCCACCTGTGCTGAGCTGCCAGGAGAGGCTCTAGCCACTGGTGACTGTGAATTGAAATCAGTGGGTTGGAAAAGAATTATCTTGTTTTTATTAATCTTTCGTAAATGTGTGTATGCTCACATTTATTTCAATGTTTAAAGTTAGAAGTGTTTTGGGTCTTTATTTAGAAGTCTGTTGATGATTTTGAGACCAGAAATATGCCACAGGAACTTTTGTTCCTATCAATTAGGCTATGGTAAATTGGTGGTGTTATGTATCATTTTGCTTAAAGTTGTAGCTTCCAGGAACCTATTGACGTTGTTAAGTGAGGACTTACTGTATACACGCACACACCCTATTAGTTCCATTGCTCTAGAGAATTCTAATACAGATACCTACTGTTGACTCCTCGCACTACCATGATCTATTGTAGCACTCAAGTTTAGAGTAACTTAAATTAGGCCTAACATTGCAAAGGGAGAAAAATCTCCACATATCCCAAACTAACTTTCCTAGTACTTTGAGATAGCATCATGTCAGAATACATAATGCAGCTACATACTCTAACCTGACTTCATCAACTCTTTTCACCTTTTCCAAATTTCAGCATTACACAATGCTCAGAAGAGAAAAAACTGATATACGAAACTATCTTCTACTGGTTTTCACTTCCACTTTCTCTTCACAACTTTCTCTTTTTTGGTATTTCCCAAAGATACCAGATGAAAAGACTGACATTTCTACGGGATTCAAGGTTAAAAGTCACCTTGGAAAATTTGCAAGACTACAAAAAATGTAGTAAGGTTTCAAGAAATTCTGCTGTAAAAGTTATGCCCTGAATACTCTCGGTGAGAGGTGATGATGGCTTAAACTAGAGAAGTTGGAGGAGAGGTGAATTTAATGGTCAAATTCAGGATATATTTTGGAGAGAGCCAAAAGGATTTACTAATGTATTAGATATAAGAGGTAAGGGAAAGAAGGAATCCGAAAATTAAAAGGAAAAAAAAAACTGCTCTGAGAAACCAAATAAATTGTTCAATAACCAAGAAGAAATCTCAGCATTAATAATACTAATTAAAGCAAGAATTATTTTCCTTAGGTTAACTGTTATGCTATCTTACTTGGATACAGGCATTGTGCAGAAAATAACAGTCCTACTGTATACAGTAGGCACTCAAGGAATATTTTTGGATTAAAAAAATTGATATTAATTTGATTTGCACATAATGCCAAAATACAATTCCTTCTATTTTCTTTCTCCTTCCTCTTGCCTTTAACCTAAGATTGCCAGTAAGTGAAGGGTAAACATGGTGATTTCCCTACTTTTGTTAAGCAGTCTTTTGGTATCCTACACTTACAATTTTTATCTTGTGCTTTAAAATTTCAATTCAAAGCATAATCTTATAAAAAGCAATTTAAAAAACATTACCAAAACCAGACCATAAGGAGAGTGTTTCAAGGCTAGAATATTGATAGGTAGGTAAAAGGACAAAATGTTTTCCAGGGAACAATGAATCAGTCTCTGACATAATTTTTGTTCCATGAATCTCTTTGTTAAAAACAGTGAACTACTTAAAGGGAAAATAAAACACCTAAAAAATGTGTTCTCTGGAATTTTTATTTAAATTTATAACGTCTTTGGATTATCACAAGGATATACTTCCTAATAAAAATAAAAACAGAACTCCATTTAGAAATACTTTATCACACATTATATACCATAATGAAGTAACACACAAAGAAACTTTTTTTAAACACAGAATTTCTCTCTAAAGCTTAAATGTGAGGCAGACAGACGTCTGACTTTAAAACAGATGGAACCTCAGAACACTCCCAGGATACATAAAACTGCATTTTGTGTTATATTTTATGTCTGAGATGGCTAACCAATACAAATTGATGGCCAGGGTTTCTCTACTAATTGATTTTTTCCTGTCTTCCCTTTTTAACATACAAATTTAATAATTCGGTGTTTCTTTTAATCCTATGGAATGAGCATTCAAGAATGTGTATGATTTATATAACCTGCTTTGTGACTTATAATCTTAATTGTGTGCATGTTATCTATTATTTTATCAAAACATATTAATAATAAATAATTATCAATTCATGGGGCCCAACACATGTACTCTTGACACACATACAAAAATACAATTGTCACTAATAAAACAAGTTTATTTTATATTAAAGTTTTCAAAAAACACGTTTGTAAAATTACTTCCATACTAGGCCTAAAGATAGCCTTTACAAAGAGCTTATAAAATTGCAAAACTGCTTTCTCTTAACTACTAAAGTGTTAAAAGAAAAGGTATTGAAAGAAAAAATGTTAATTCGTGGTCAATGTTTAAATAATACACATTAACTCTGTGAAATATTATAGAAGATTAAATCTTAAAAACATTTCCTTTCAGAAAGTTTTACTTGTAAATGATGTTTACTAAGAAATATACACTGCATACTGCACTAACAATGATCTCTCAAAATTTTCCCATTAGCTTTTCAAATCAATTAGCCTACACAGGAGAAAACAGAAAATTGCTTTTCAATACCTATTAACTCCTTGATTTTCCTGATAAAGAAAATCAGAATAAAAATTTAGTCTATTTCAATTAAAAATACAAATTACTAATATTTAAGATAGCATTGTATTCTTTTTAACAAAAGTTCAAGCGTTCCGGAAGCATAAACTGTTATTTTCAAAAAAGGAAAAAAAACCACATTTGTCTAACCAATGTCTTAACAGAAATTTGGAATATTTACATAATTTATAACACTGTAGAAATCTTTGGTGGTGACATATGGATTAAGTTCCCTGAAAACACTAATAATTTTGTTCCATCAATCTGGGTAGTCAAGTATTAATAATTAGTAATGCTGGCAGTATCATTTTCTACCAAATGCACATATAGTAAAGTGTGTGGAGAATATCTTAGGTAGGACCTAAGTGGGTTTACATAATTAATTACTTAGCAATCAAGCTTATTTCTGGCTCATTTTTATACCAGAAAAAAATTTGGTGAACTAAAGAATAGATTAATTCTTACTTCCAAACGAATTCTGGAAATAGTTAATAGTAACAAACAAATTGAATGCATATATAATAAAACAACGAATACAATTTCTGGATAAACTTTAACAGCTACCAAAATAGTACCTTAGATAGGCTTGTGCAGCATCTGATGCCCATTCACCAAGTGATGGTGGCAGGAAAGCAAGGCACTGCGGTCTAAGGATAAATTTATCTCTTTCAAAAGCAGTGGACTTAAAAACAGAAACAAAAAATAACATGTTCCACCTTAAAAGAAACAAAAATGTATAAACTTATACAAAATTCAAAGGAAAGGGCATGCTAAAACACACATTAGAGAAAAGAAGCAAAATTTAAGAAATTTAAGAAAATGGGAGAAAAGGAATTATAGAAAAACAAAATGACATCACTGTATAAAGGATGTAATAGTAGAAATATATCAGAGGAAGCATAGTAAGTGTGAAGAGATACAATTAAACAGAAGAACTTGTACTACCTCTTTGAAACTGGTTTTGTCTTTAAATGTTTTGATTCCAAAAGTGTAGAGGGATACATAATTCCTCGAATTTAGAAAAGTATTTATGAGATCAGATTTGGAAAAGATAAAATGGTAAAAATCAGCCTCCATAGGTAATGTTTTTTGATACAAAGTCAGGTACATGACATTGTCAGGCAATCTGAGATGACACTGCCTTTGTGCAGGAAAGACACGCATGGCAAGCATGGCATGGCATTTATATTTATAAGTCTAAAACTATACAATATAAATAAAACTCTCTTCCAAGAGTTTATAATCAGCCCTCATAGAAATTTTGAACACAAATTAAAGGGCTTTCCAGAAACTAAGAGGCTAAAAATTAGTCAAGGTAAAGTAGATGGAGATACTCATAGAAATAAACTTTGATAGCAAAGAAGTTGAATGAATTTTTACTTGGTGTTATATATCAAGAATGTGAGATAATCTAGAAAATATTTTAAGACTTGTATCAGAGAAATGTCTGAATTATATTAAGGTACTTTGGAGTAAACATTCTGTTCTCTGCTAATACTTTCAGGAGGTCCTGAAGATACACTGCCAGCTAGCTTTATTTCTTTAAAGGTAGAAAAGTCAAAGATCTCATAAATTTCTCATTGTTTTTTCTTTTGGACAAACTAGTAGCATCATCAAGTAAATTATCTGAACAAGTATAATTTTACAAATTTCATTACCGATCACTAAAACCATCACCAAAAACATAGTGACTTAAGAGTTTATAATATATAGCTATCAATGCAATCTAAAAATGCCTCTAAGTCCAGTAACTCAAAGTATCTGGGGTTAGAAAAGGATATTTTTCTAATATCCATTCTAATAGCTTCTAAAATCTAAGATTAACAACATCTGTATTTTGCATTGGCAACTATCTTCAGGATATAATTTTACCCAGAAGAGAAGCGATTCAAATGATTCTAGTTAATGCCAGATTTATAAATCAACAACACATACAAGTGCCAAGCTTGTGAATGGACTAGCTGTTGGATATTTTCATAAATTAGAAGAGACCTATGTGCTATACTGGTCTCTAACTTTATTTCACAAAAGCTACCACTTTTAAAAGCCAAAAATGTAATTAGTGTTAAAAGCATGCTAAGTTCAACCACAATGTATGGCTAAATATTGAAAACTGGTTAATGTTTAAAATACTTTCTTATCTGTAAAGAAGATAATTAAAAATAGCTACACTTGAAAAATTAGCTATATTTTTATATTGTTAAAATCAAGCAAATTTAACAAATGAAACCCACAGGAAAAGAGATGATGTAATTCAAGGCATAAATTTAACATGTCAGAATATGACAAATAATAAAGACAGTGCCGATGAAACTTAAAATGTACAGCTGTAAAATAAGTAAACAATTTTCAAGTGTGCAAAACTAGTCAGGAATGAAAGTGCTTTGTGAATACCTGGTTTTCAAATATTTGTTTTGAAAACTTTCCGTTGATGGTGGAAACACTATAAAATATTAAAAAAGTAAAAATTTAAAGACTATGTGAAACATACTTTATCTCATTATGCCCTTGTCTTATTACTGTTAGATCAGAGACCTATTTAATTACTACTCTCATGTGATAGTTATAACATAAATGGAGGTAAACAATACAATATCACAAAAGTTGATATATCCTGAACCACAAAAACACTCCTCTCAAGTATATTGTAGGTTTGTGCTTCATCCTGTATCTCAGGCCCTTGATATTGCTGATAAATTTGAAAACATGTAACACAATTTTCTATCATTTTTGATATATATACACACATATATGCTTTGCATAACTACCTTTAACAGTCAAGAAATGAAAGTAATTGTTAAAGAAATAAAAAGTATTTAAGTTGATGAAAGTAAACCCTATCACTGCCACAATTTACAGAATTATTTTAATGTGTAAATCCTAACGTTAGAAAAAACAGTTGGTGCATTAGCATAATTTGTCTTGGGATACTTGAAGTGTACATGACTAAAAATACACCTGTGGTCTCTTCTTCACTTTATATTTTAGGGACCCATACCGCACCTGAAGAGAGAAATGTGTTATTATTACAAATTAGATGATTAAGTTTTGAAATCATATAAGATTTAATAGTTCATAAACATAGAATAATTTTTTTAACTTTTCTGATATAAAGAACTAATTATCCAACAAGTATGTACTCAGAAGACAATACTGCTTATATACTAAAAATTGTAGTTGGTTCTATATTGTTTATATGCTGTAGATTATCACTAATAACAAACATTAATTGTTATTATTTATGCTTTGCTTGGTATGTGTCAATGAACATTGCTCACAATAATCTGAAGCTATTCCCTGAAATTCTCCACTGCTTTCTGGGCACAAAGACAATATATAATTTCAGATAAACTTTTACTATTTAATCCTCATGGAGGGTAAATTCAAAGCAAAACTATGTGATTTTGTTAGCTGCTTTCTTTGCTTATCTGAAGGGCTGGCACTGAGTATTCAGGACAGCCATATGATTTGCTATGTGAGAATATTATTTTCTACTTATCGTGGAAGACTAGGAATTTACCATTTTCTAAACTTCCATAGATCCTAATACATCTGATCTGAATAAAGAATTTTAAATATAACTGCAGCTCTACCATTCCAATACTTCATTTATGGATCATTAATATCCTGAATGATAATGTAGCAGGAAATCCCTTAACATTAATCATTAGGAAAACAACTCCATAATTGACTGACCTCTTTTCGGCCTTTCACGGTTTTCACAGATTTCATGCTTTGCGATCTTCGAAGCCCTTTGTGTGTTAACATCTCATCATCTGAATATGGTCCTTCTGCTTCCTCATCTGTTTTCTCATCTCTGTCTTTCAGTGGAATTCCATAACCTAAGCAAGTTGTTAAAACTAGCATGTTAAAAAGATGGTAAAAAGATACCAGTCAGTACTGCCTCTTAACTGTTTGCAGTTCTCTGCATGATCTGCATTTGCCTGGTTACTTCTTTTCCTTTCTTACCTGCAATATGTTCCCTTAATCTTTGCCCCTAGAACTATTCTAGATGAAGCTCATAACTGATTTCTTCCAGGAAGCTTTCCCTGACCATTCCTATTTTTACTATGCATTTTTCAAAATAATTCATTTTTGAGTAGGTAACACATTTATCTTTTTCAAAAATCAGAGAATATAAATAACTATATATTTATATGTTGAGTATATATATTTTTATTTACATTGAAAAGTGTCTTTCCATCCTTTCTCCTTTTCATGAGTTCTAAATAACCTAAGCAATTGTGTAGTTTAGTCATTTATATCTTTGACTTTAATTAGGAATTAAGGGTTCCCCCATACTTTGTGTCAAACCTTTTGTCAAGATTGGGAATGGTAGGGTGAATTTAAGGAGTCATATAAGACCCAAAGGGGCTAGAATTTTGGGCAAGTACACTGGGGGCAGGTGATAGAGATGTTAAACCAACACTGTTGCAGTTGCTGAGATAAAACCCAGCCAGATAGGCTACAGTAATTAGAAACATCACAGGCTATGATGACAGATGTTAGTCAAAGTAAATAGCCAGCGTCAGAAAAGGCAGTAAGAGATTGTGCGGGTGTGTTAATAGGCTGCTATGTATAGCTACAAAGGCTTAACATTGACCAACATGTAAACATCCAAGCATGGTCAGCCTGGTTATTGTTGGAAAGTCTGAGAGCATCCTGACACTGGCATTTAGGGACAAGAACGCTCTTATTCCTGAAGCAGAGGTTCTCAAACTTTAGCACATATTAGAGTCACCTGGAGAACCTGTTAGTTAATACACTGATTGCTGGGCCTGGGGTGAACTGAGAATCTACATTTCTACCAAGTTCCTAGGTGATGCTTATGCTACTGGTCCAGGGTCCACACTTTGAGAACCACTGCCTGGATGGAGCAAAAGAGGGGCCCAAGTCTAAGGCAACCCGAACACTAGGTAGATTATAAAGATAGGGGTGAGGTTACAAGGCCCCATTAACTTTCAAATTCTCCTTTAATAAAGATAAAGAATATAAATACCTAAATGTTTAAATGAGAAAAAAAGTAGCAGGTTTTCCAGGTTTAGAAGAGGGGTAAGGGACAGATTTCCTGCATGTGAAGAAAAATATACTAAATAAACATTTATTAATCTGCTCTCCCAGGACATGATTACTTGAGACTCACTAAGCAAACCATGAAGAGTTGTTAATAAGCTTTTTAGTCTTAAAATAAGATAAACATCTTTGTATACTAAGATAGTACAATTTTATGCTGCCATCCCCCTAGGCTAGAAATTAGGGAGGATTTGGGAATAGATTCAGTCATTATTTAGGCCAAGATGCTTTGTTTTCCTGCAGCAGTTCAAGGAAATGTGTTCTAGGTAGAAGAGACAGCATGTGCAAAGGTGCTAGGGCAGTGGAGAGCATGACTGCTTGGAAGAACTTCCAGGAGGCCAGTGTGGCCAGGAAAGGGGATGGGATTAGTAGTCCCAGGAAAATGCTCCTGATGCAATATGAAGTGGGAAAAAGATGTACGTGTATAAACAAATAAAGGAAAAACATGAAAAATGAAACCACTGCATGTCTTAGAAGTGGGCTTTTAAGTGATTTTTAATTTATTTTTCCTTTTTTTTTAATTTGCCAAATTTTTATTTTAAAACTGTGTTACTCCTATAGTTGGGGAAAACAAACCAGAAAAAATGTTTTTAGGTTGTGATTTCTAGATTTTTCTCTATTGTTGTTGCTTACACAATATTTCCTGATCCCAACATAATAAAACTAAGGTAAAACAAGAACGAGGAATCAAGGAGAGAGTCAGAAAGGCAGCAAATGTGACCAGAAAATTCTCTAAGGCCACAGATAAAGCATAAGACTACAGTTCAACAAACATGGCCCTTGCTATTTTAATTGATCTTCATTTTATCTGATTAGGAATTGAAATTTCATTCAAAAGATGATAGTATATAAATCTTATTATTTGTTTCCTAATGTTGTTAAAAAAAATCTTATTAGTTTTCTAATTATGGTTTCAGGAAAAGTGATGGCTTGATTCATTATTCCACAAGTATTTTTAAAATTCTACTATGTGAGGCAGTGTACTAAATTATGAGGATAAAATGATGAAAAAGACACAACTATCATTTTCTACCCTAAGAAACTTACAGTCCAGTAGGAGAAGTAGACTCTACTGGGCACTACTAGCCTGTAAAAAAATGCTATAAATAGAAGATAATGCTATGGGAACATATAGTAAGAGAATTAACTCAGCCTGGGGACGGGGAGCAGTGGGTTGTGAGAGAAGAGTTCCTGTAAGGTGGTGTGACTAAGCCAAACCCTGAAAGGCTCATGATTCCATACAGCTAGCACATGATGAAGTGGGAGAACAAGGTCAGGGAGCTAATATACCACATGTCCTTGAGTTTAGATTTCAACAGAGAGCGACGGGGCGTGGGGAGGAGCACTGAGGCAAACATGTTAAGCAGAGGGTGACGTGATTAGATTTCGGTTCTAAAAGAGTCTTCTTGCACTTTGGAGAATGATCAGAAGTGGATGAGACTGGAAGCAGGGGGATTATTGCTGTATGGCAGGTCAGAAATGAAGTCCAAGAAATGAGGACAGAGCAAGCAGCCACATTTGGGATCTATTAGGAGGTGAAATCGATAAACTTAATTTAGCAACTGAGTAAATCAATCCCTCATCCAAAAGAGAGGAGTCAAGTCAAATATTCTCACTAAAATATGCACTATCTGTTCCACTTACTACCTGGAAAAGAGTATGTAAATTCTGCTGTGAGTGGTGGAAATAATGTCAGTTAAAGTTATCCAAGTATGTTTTCTTATCTGGTAATGTGGTGAGACAGATGAGAGATGATGACTAGGTTTCTCTGTCAACGCCAGCTTGAAGCCAATTGAGCTCTCTGGGGCACTATGTGGAGTGGGATTCTGAGCCAGCATGGGAAAGTGCCACAATCCATTAGCAATGTCTGCCATCATGGGCACAGGAGCAGGGAGTAGGCCTGTCACCTATTTGCCATTTTTGACTAAAGCATCTCTAAGGTCTCTTCCTGCTCAAATTATTTTAATACGTGGTTCCAGCCCAACTAAGTTTAGCCTCTTTATAAATTAAAAATAGAAAGAGTAAGAATTAGCTTAGGAACCTTGGATACCTCACTTCTGTCATTGAGTATGTAGCTTTAACAAGTAATTTAAGCTCCTTAAGTCTCCATTTATTCATCTACAAAATAAGGATAAAGTACTTAACCTGCATAGTCATCTTAAGAATTAAGTAAATATGTAAAGCAACTAAAACAAACAAACAAAAATCTCCTTATGTACTTTAATTAAAACTGAATGTTGAACCACTTTTAACTAATATGGGAGCAGCAGGTTCTTTGCAGAAAAAATATTTCCACTTATCAAAATGTGGTGTTCTTTCAAGGGATGTGAACATCATGTTCAAGGCATCCATTTTCTTACAAAACAGCATTTGGAGGGAGCTTTTTTTCCCATTGTGACTACATGCAGATTTGAATAATTTCATCAAAGCAGGATGTCTCTTGATGAGTTAACCTTAAACAGCTCAGAGCAGATCATGGTGAGTTTTCAAAAGGGACCTGCTTTCCACATATTTTAGTTTGCTTGTGTGGACAATCAGAGCTTCTGAGGTAAATGTATTGATCATGAACCAGTAAAGACTTTGCAATGTAAAGTAATTCCCACACTTACAAATTTATCCTGTTTTCTTTTCTTGAGGAATCTTGGAAGTAAATGAAATGAAGTAAATGAAATAGAGAAGAATTTATAATAAAAAAAAAAAAAGAATACCTTAATTCGTTTTCCAAAGGAAGAGTTCTGCTGTTTTATTTCTGATTCTGAGTAACAGGTTGGGTTAAAAAAAAATCACTAAAATCCTACCAGTCAGAGCTAAACACTTAACATTTCAGTAATGTCCTTCCAGACTCTCCACTATGTATATACATTTGAAAAATAACTTTACATATATTAATTATTTCATCTACCTATTGTGCCTCCATGGTATAGGATTATAACACAAATACTATTTTGTTGTTATTGTTAATTTCCACATAATCTGGTTATGTTTTTATGTCAGTAAGTATAGAATGACATTATTATTTTTCCTGGCTAATAAACCACCCAGCTCAGACACCAGACATGTGAGTGAAGAAGTCTTTGAGATTATGACTCCAGCTCAAGTTGCTGTCTGACTGTAGCTGCATAAGACCCTAAGAACTATCAGACTGAGCTCGGTCACCTCCAGATTCACAAGTAAAATAAATGACGGTGATATTTTTAAACTACTGTTGGGAGGTGGTTTATTATGCAGCAACAGACAACTAGAATAGTCACCAACACAGAGCACTATTAATTAAAATTTTTATTTGCCAATCTGGTGAGCAAAAATTACTATTATTTCTATTCCTTTGACTACTGTGAGGCTATTTTTTTCATATATTAATTGGTCAGCTGTATTCTGTGGTAGTATTGACAATTATTGGCTTGTAAGGGTTCTTAGATTGTTAAAATCGGAACCCTTTGCTTGTAACATATAATATTTCTTATAGTTTGTCATTTTTATCGTGTGGAGTTTTTCCCCCCTTTATATGGTAATTTTATGTTTTTTTTTTTTTTAATAGAAAAATCTCTCAAACATTTCCTTTATGTTTTCTGGTTTTGATGTCATGCTTAAGAAGTTTGATCTATCCTAGGAGCATAAAAATACACACAGGAATTTCTTACTATATTGTTTAATTTCTTACATTTCAGTCCTAATCTTTTAAGAATTTATTTTGATACAGATATAACTTCATTGCCTATTTCACCTTCTAAGCTTAGCAGTTATCTTAACATCACTTATTAATCTGCCTTTCTACCAATTTGAAAGGCTATCTTCCTCATTTTATAAATGTCCTCGTGTACCTGCATTTGTGTCTATCTAGATTATCTGTTATTATCATCTCTTCCCCTATTCCTCTCCTGGAAACACTACTTAATTAAAGATAGTGTCGAGACAGAAAGTTTTGCTTAAATTTTTTCCTTAAAGAAGAAAAGCTCAGAATATATACTATTCTGTAGGAAAGTTTGGCAAAGTAATGCATATTAAAATTTTAATTTCATAACTGAACAAGTATGTTTCTTGTACTGCTACCAGTTCCTTCATATTTTTATAAATCTTCAGTTATTTTAATTTCATGGCTTGAACTTTAACAAAAGAACTAAACAGTACCTCAATATCTTAAAATATTTTAGTCACATCACAAAAATAGTGTTTAGAATTTTCCTATTTATAATCTTGTTTTCCGTTAAATAATTGAAATATAATTCTTAACCAATTCTAAGGTATAATCATGAACAAATTGCTGATAAAGACCTCAGATAACTAGTGTGAATAAGCACTATATATACAGCAGACCTCATAATCAAAATTAGTATCCTAATTTTTAAATGCGTATTAAGAAGATGCCTATAATAGGGACTACTTTTATGTTATTTATGCATTAAGAATGATGGTTCGAAGTTCAATGGTTCCTCATTCTTAAAGATATTACTTCCTTAATCAATTGCCAATGCTTAATTACTACCTCTTAGATAACAGACACCAACTTTTGTAAAGTTATTCATTCTAGGGAGAATTTAAAGAAAGTTCACTATTTTTCCTCTATAAGAAAAGACTGTTACTTTATTTTTCAAACTGTTTATAACTATAAAGGATGATTTTTAATCTCCTTCAAAAGAAAAGTTTTAGATTAAAAAAAAATAGATTTAAGCAGGCTTGTACCTTATGGACTTAATAATAAGACATGTCTTGAAGATCTTGGTTCTCAGCTATGCCTTTAAATAAAACTTTCTTATATGTGAGAAAATGACTAAGGAACTATGTCTTTATTTATGTGTATGTTTCTAAGATAATTATTTATTAAAGTTTAGAACATACCAGATACGACATGCTCATGCTTTACATTAGAATATATCTACAAGTTAGTTCTTGAACTAGAATATGTATAAATTCAACACATTTTCCACTGGAGTAATTTTGTTTTTAAACTGAATCACCTGCTTAAAACTTTTATGAGTCAATATCCTCCCTTGTTCACAGCACTTACAGTACAGATTGTTTAATTATAAAACTATTGAGATGTCATTACACAGCTTATATAGAAAGAATATTGATCACAGGTCAAAACTCGTACTGGTGGTAACTACACCCACAGCTTCTAAAAATTCAAGCAGCACAAAAAGCTACTGCTACTTTCTTAGTTGGATTATCTCCATAGCCAATAAAAGGCAAGCATTAACTTTATCTAGAGAAAATCTAGAGAAAGAGAACTACAATTAAGAGTAAAACTCAGAAGTAAATTTTGTCTACCAAATTCAGAGTTATCAAGTATTATTTCAAGTACCCATCTTGACTCAAAACCCCACTTGTGAAAGAATAATATATTAAAACGAACAAGCACACCTGCTGATTCACTGGAGGCTGGTTTACTTTTCTTTTTTGTTTCTGGTAGAGGTTGGTATGGCCTTTGTCCCATGTGCTCATCCCCTTGGATAGCTGTTAGATCGTGCATACTGAAACTTCGTAACCGCTCGGTTATCGCCCCTTGGCTCTATTTTAATAGAGAAGTGAGAGATCGAAGAAAAAAATACTTTAAAATATTTAATATATAAAAATACTTTAAAATACTTAATATATATTGAACTTTCCTCCAACATTTTATCATGGAGCTTACTCTTTTTATTATGAAACTTTCAGAAAAGTTGAAAGAATTGTATACTGGACACCCATAATCATTTACATTTTGCTATATTTTATCACATATCTACCATTTATCCATCCATCAAACCATTTTTAATGTATTTAAAAGTGAGTTGTAGACATCGGTACATTCCACCCCCAAACATTTAAGCTTTATATTTAAAGTGTGAAAAATGCGTGATGAGCTTACCCTCAGAGTAATTTTGCTCTCTCCTAAAACTAGCACTCGGGGCTTAAGTTTATGATTTAGAACTTTTTAAAGTAAAAGAGATATTGTCTTAAGCTAAACTAAGTCAGGAGTCGTAATGGCTCTACCCAGAACAGGGTACAAAAAATTTAAGAGCCAAAGAATCCTGGATACAAAATAATATTCAGTTAATGAGTTCACTATCTGGCAAGGCACATCTACTACTGCTATGAAGTCATTCTAAAGCCTTAACAACAGGGTAGACGTTGAACACCTGTGGGTATTTAAATTTAAATTAACTAAATAAAAATTAAATAAAGTAAAAATTAAATAAGAATAAGTTAAATAACATTAAATAAAGTAAAAATTCAGTTCCTTAATTGCACTAGTCACATTTCACATGCTCAATAGTCACATGTGGCTAGTAGCTACTGTATTAAACAATACATAGAAGATTTCTATTGCAGAAAGTTCAATGACTTTCATCATTGCACAGCTTTGAAAGTGACATTTCTGAACTTTTTAGCTATAACTAGATTCCCTTCCAAGTATAAACCTTTGTAAAGGGAAAAAATAATTTCTAAATTTACCCACTTTGAAAATTTGCACAGCATATAGATGACTAATTTCTTATTTATAGCTGGATTAAAAATATTCTTCTAATGTTTTTTTACACTTATTTCTTCTTCTCACATATGTCAATTTATGGTTGCCTCTAGTTATAAAGTTACCATAGAAACTTATCCATAATGGTTTATCTCTAAGTTTCAAAGCTTACAGCACTAAAAACATTCAAATATTACTGCTAACATGTATTTTACAATGAAGAAAATGAGTTTTGATTCAGGTACTCTGAGTTGGTGATATATTATGTTGAAAGCAAACACCATTACACCACTTAAGCTTTGTATTTCTACTGTATTTTTTTGACTTGTGAAAAGGAATTATTTAACTAAAGAGTCTATATCCTCCATAAAAATAACTGGGTTCCACGCATGTTTAAACATTCTTGATGAGGTTTTTAATTAATTATACTTTTTTACTCTTTATCAGATACCATTTACTTATTAAACAGGTAACAGAAGATTTCGGAGGCACGCTAAAAGGAGATGACCAGCGCTCATCTGGGACAGATGCCTTGTCTTCTCAAAACTGTCAGTTTCTTTATCTCATCTTTGTATTTCTGTGCCTTCTCTCAGAAATTCTTGACTTTTTACCTACTGTTAAAGAAATGATAAATAGCACACACATCCATGATACCCTCTACTTGACTTGGGTGCAATTTCCAAGGCTGGCTGTAACTCCCAAACTCTCCAACTCAAGAAAGTGTATCTCAGAATGAAAATGAGTCAGAGTGTCATTGAACCAGTCCTGCTTTATATCATCCATAAACTTTGGTATCTTTAACAAGTATAATCAGTTAATTACTTAGGGCATACCTCACAAATGAACTCACATATTATTGTTAGTCTTATCATTGTGTTGTGTATATTTTGCTTCCAAAGCAAGATTTTAAGAAACTAGATGAGATAGATCTTAGGCTTCTTCTAGTCTCCTAATGTACCTGTGGTACTGAAACTGGGTGTGTAATAATTAAACTAAATACTCTTTTTATGCCTCTTTTAAAATTATTCTTGACTGCTAGAGAGTTTTCCATATAGTAGCTTGTTTTAATGTAAACAGTGGCATTTACATACTGAAGTTAAGTAGCAAACTACAGGTATGGTTGTGGGTATCTAGATTATACTAACCATCAGAGGTTTGTTTCGGGTTAAATGAAAGGTGAGCAAGGACCAACTCTGAGGTATCTGGGTGATCTATTTACAGCATGGATTTTAATGTAGCTCTTGAGTAACCAATCTCATAGCCCTAAGTATTATCAATCCCCTCAAAGTTTCAAGAAAAGCGAAGAAAAGCTTGGGGCTGTGCATCCTCTTTGACACCCACCAACACTTCGACAGCCATTATCATTTTGAAAAATCAGACTTTCCACTATGTATTTTCTTATGGGCCCTGAGTGGAGCTAATATAGGAAAAGAGAATTAATGCAGTATTGTGAACTTCAAAATCATTATATAAATTGTAAGTATCCAATGTACCCATATTAAAGGAGGGGTGTAATTATAAAATAATCACATCTAAATGCAGACCTATTCCCTCCAATTTTTATATCTTCAACACAAAAAGTCTATTAATAAAGGAATTATGTTTGTAATAAAATTTTAAGTGGCAATACTTTCCCTCTACCTCAGAATTCTAAATCATGTGCATAACATGCAGTATGGTTATAAGTAGACAGGAAAAAATATGCAAAAATGAAAACAGTATAATGTTTAAGACACATGGGAAGGGTGATATTTTTCAACAATTTCTTTAATATAAAATTAGTCATAGATGGCATAGTGAAGTTTTAATTGTAACATGGTAAAGGGGATCAAATATATGGTAGCTGAAGGAAACTGGACTTTGGGTGGTAAATACACAATAGGATATACAGATGTTAAATTATAATGTACACCTGAAAATTATATAATTGTATTAACCAATGTTACCCCAATAAACCTAATTAAAAAAAAATTTCTGATCCATTTCCCACTCACTCTTCCTACATATAATCTCTTACTCTGATTATTAAAAGAAAATTTCTCTATTTTCAGGGCACAAATAGGGCATTACAGTCACTTGTCAATAACAATGTTATGTTCTGTTTAAAGTAATAATTTTCTTCTATTGGGTTTATATAATATTAAGCTAAAAGCGTAAAAAAATGAAGATTCTAGTCGAGGAGGAAAGTATGTGTGGAAATAGCCACCTTACTTGATGAGGAAGAAAGGTATCATCCACAAGGAATTCTATATCCAAGCATTTTATAGCCTATTCTCTGCAGAATTGTATATACACTGTGTATGTTAATATTGGTCCTAAAAACCAAAGAGGAAGTAACAGAAAGATTATGATAAGAATGTAAAAGTAGGAAGTATTCCATAGAATATTTTATATCAAGACCGATCATCATTAGCAGAAGGGTTCCCAAACCCTTCAGTAGCTCAAAATTCCCAGGCTCTGAATTTGGATGGGCCCAGAACATCCATTTAAGAAACTAAGAACACCACAGGGGTGACTGGCTAAAAGGGCTGGGTCCAGATCTAGCACAGTAAAGCTCTAAGAAGGATTCTCCAGCTGAGAACCAGCTCCCCGAGCTGTCCTCCCACAGAGCTCATTTATATCCAAGGGCAGTAGGACATATGAATGTCTACTCAAGTATACAGGTACATGATTGGCATTTTTAGAAAGGGACCTGCATATATGACTAATTCTAACTTTTTTACACCCAAACAATTCCACTTTTGTTAAAATAACTTAATTTCCTGGTTAAACATTACATAAAAATTACTATATTTTGTGTTAAATAAGGGGAATTTACTAGGCTTATTAGCATCTTTGTATAAAACCCTCAATCTATTCACATTTTTTATTAAGAACTTAAAAACATAATCGGCAACACTTTATAATCTTACAAGCATATAAACAATCTCTTACAGAATAATTCTTACTGTCCTGTTGAATAATGAATAGCCATTAAGCTCTATTTCTGTTGATCCTTGACATATTACATTATAATTGCAGATAAGGCTAGTTCCCAGTTTTCAGGGAAATTTCTCTTCCCTATGGACATTCAACAATTAATCTGATCAAGCCTAGAATAGAATCAACTTCATTTGCATTAAGTGAATAATATATTTTAGTGGTTTTAAGATGAAAGCAATATATACTTACCAAAGAACATTTGTAACAAGAGACAAATATACAAAAGAAAAATTATTCATAATCTACCTATACAGATTTATATATTCTTTTAGCTTTTTCTGACTCATCATACTTTTAGAGCAAAGTTTCTCAACCTCAGCACTATTGCTATTTTGGGCTGGATAATTTTTTTTGTTGTGGGGAAGCAGTCCTATGCATTGTAGAATATTAAGTAGTATCCCTGGCCTCTACCCTCTATATGCCAGTAGCAGCACCCCTTCCCTTAGTTGTGACAATCCAAAATGTCTCCAGACATTGCCAAATGTCCCTTGGAAGGCAAAATCAACCCTGCTGAGAACTATTCTTAGAGATATAAGGGGCTTTAGAAGTCAAATTTCACCCCCTTGTTTTACAGGCAAGAAAATGAATACTTAGATCTGCAGATGATTTGCCCAAAATCTCATGGCTAATTTGTGGCAAGATTAGGGCTAAAAAAATGCAGATAACTCCACTGCTACAGAATTCAATGTTCATTACAACATTCTGCTTCTTAGATGATAGGAAAATAGTATGACCTTTTCCATCGTCTGAACAATTGCCTTTTTTTTTTTAATGGATGATATTAAGTGGCTACACATCCTCAAATCTTTTCACAAACAGAAAGCCACTAAGACAGTAAGATGTCAGGATTTTTGAACTAATCACAGTCACTTAAAGTCAATTAGATTTCATCAGTTTTACCTGTAAGGATCTACTTTCTGTGCTAATTGATTTTTCAAATAGTATCTGCTAAATAATTCAACAAGAAAAGGCTGCCAGAGAAAATTCTAAGAGATGGTTAATATGACCAGCAGTACTTTTCTTCACCTGTCCTTCATCTGGCAGGAGTGTTGCTCATCTGTACAAAAGCCACCTGCATTTCTCATGTGAAAAACTATGGAATGTTGAAAATCCTCAGCAAAATCCTTGAAGGGTCCTTCATGTGTTTATGCTTTGCTCAGCTAAAATAAACTTGTACGCTGACCTTGTGAACAGATGCCTGGTAATGAGGTCATAGAACTGAGTAACATTTTCAGAAAATTGCTTTACAGTATAATAAGTGCTCTTATTAGATTCCTATTTTCATCTTTAACATGCTCAGGTGGTTCAACCTGGGAAACCTAGTCAGGGGCATTACCAATTTTTAAAGGTCATAGCAAGAGTCCAATTATTTTTAGCCTAAAAGATATTTTTACAAACTATATGTTGTAAAAATTTTAAATAATTCTCCAGTCTTACTACTGGATTTCTTGCAGTTTCTCCTTAAACTTGACCTATTTCCTATTTCGGTTTCAATTTATTCCTTGGTATGAAGTGTCTGGTTCAGTGATTCTTCCATCACAGTGCCTTTCTTTGATATCTCCAGAGATGAAACTAATTTCACCTACTTTAAAATAGGCACAGTACAACTTGAGGCAAATAGTGTTAACAGTATGTTATGTTCAGCATATTTAATGACTATTTCTAATGAATAAAATCCAGGATGGCTGAAGTGAATCTTCCTGGGCTCCTGCTGAGAAGGGCAAGGGCTACTTCGCATACAATGATCTTGATAACTAAAGGATCATGACATCACAAACAAGAAAGGAAAGTTCAAAAGTGGATTCAAATTATGGGATATGCGTTTGTTTGTTTTGCAGTGGTAACTTAGATGATTTTTATGTTCTCTGTTTCCTGCCTTTGAAGTGGGGTGGTGGTTCTAAGTTGTTAAATATATAAATAAAAATAAACAATGAATCACAAAGAAAAAAAGATAGAAATCTAAGTATAGGATTGTTTTCATAGCTTTTCTACAGAAAAACATTTCTGAGATAATGCTTATTCTGATAATGAAGGGCAAAAGGGAGGCTTGTAGCAGTCAATGATAACATTTTCAGTTAGTAAATACAGACATTCAGCTAGACAGTAGTCTGAGAGAGTAGGAACTGTATCTATCTTGTTCCTACACCTCCAGCACCTTCTATGTAGTAGGTATTAAATAAATAGATGTTGAATATGTAGGGTGCTACATACTGATGGCAGCAAAGTATTAAATAAAATTAAACGAGGAGGGAATAAGTTTAAGATAATATAGTGGAGATTTCTGTTACCCTAGAGTTTGGAAGTAGTAAACATAAGCCAAAATAAAATAAATATCCCACAAAATAGTCGTAATACACGGGAAGGTGCCTCACAAAGCATAAACTATGTTTAAAAGCAAGGAGAGGAAAAAAAAAGGGGGGTTTGTATGCTTCTCTTTCCCCAAACAATGTTCTAAAATATTTATATTTTATAAACAATTTTTCAAGTTGACGTTTTTTAGTTTTTCACCATAGACTCATGTTGAATGATGCTTTTAAATACGAAAAATCAACAAGCCCTCTGTCCCCTTCTCCTCTCCATCCTCCTGCAGGCAACCACTTCAAACCCCTACTTTCCTATAAGGCGGATGAAGATTTTAGTTCTCTTCCACCTCCTTTTCTCCCTCCTTCATCTTCCCAATAGAGCGAAATCACAGTTGTTCAATCAACAGTCCGTGTTCTTATGATTATGATGTAAATGCTATTCACTGCTGAGCCCAGTCATGCTTCATTATTATATTTCTTTTCTTATTTATTGCAACTTTTTTCAGAGTTACAATTATCTCTTTTTTAATTTCCTTTGCTTAGTTGTCCTATGCTCTCCCTCTTCACAATACCTCCACTACATTTTTCATGGTGCTCAAGGCTGAGGGGCACCTACACTGTATTACTGGCCATCTACAGCCAGTGTGTTTTCTGATTAGTCACAGCATGCACTGACTGATTTAAATATCATCCCTGCACAGGATTATACCTATCAGATACTTTCATCTCCACACGTTTCTCACCTGTCCTGCCACCCTTTGCCCATCACATCCAATTTTGGCTGGTTGTACCCTGGACTTGCTGTGTAGTGCTCATTCTGGAAATTCTTGTCACCTTCCTTCTGTGTTGGTTACCCTGCTTCCAGATCCCATGGGTTTCCTTTTTTGTGGATTATGCCCTAACTTTGGCAGAGCATATCTACCCTGACATAGGATACACAGGAGATAAATTTTGTGACTATGCATGCCTAAAATAAAAAAAAATAAAAGATTTATTCTAAGCTGATGCATGACTGAGAGCTTGACTGTTTCAGAATTTGAGGGTGAAAATCACTGTGGTATCATGGATGGTATTAGTCTTCCGTCTTCAAGCTTCCATTATCACTACTTAGAAATGAATGCCTTTCTGAATGCTGATCATTTGAATGTGATTTTTTTTTTTTTTTTTTAATGCCTGCAGCACCTGGTATTCCTAGGTGGTCTCCCATCCAAGTACTAACCAGGTCCGACTCTACTTAGCTTCCGAGATCAGATGAGATCAGGCATGTTCAGGGTGGCATGGTTGTAGACAAATGTGACATACTTTTTATCTTTGGAATCTTTAAGAATTCTTCCTATATCTCTGGTGTTTTGGAATATTCCAATTCCAGTCTGCTTAGAGTCGGCCTTTCATTCTTTCTTTGTGCTGGGTACTTTGTGGGCTCTTTCAATGTGGAGATTTGGGTCTTTCCGTTCTGGGAAATCTAATTGTATTATTTCTTCAATAATTGCATCTGTTCTCTTGGTAGAATTCTTAGTTGGTGAATGTTGGATCTCCTGAACAATCTTTTTAAGTAGATATGGATTTCATGAATATATTTTCATTAAGCAAGAATAAAAAGCAAATGCACTTCTTCTAAGATGAAAAAGTCCTTAAATAAGCAAAAATTTTGTTATTTTAGTATTTACTTATATCTATACTAATAAAAAGCCTTCAAAAGCCAATAATAGGTAAACTATACTAAAGTGCTGGTAATTAATAATCATTAATAATACAGTTGTCTTACATGATTAGTGCTGCATAGTTAATAAGTTTCCAATTAATCCTCAATGTAATACTTCTAGAACATAATGTGGATTTTTATCTTGTTGATCACATTAATTGTGATACTTGAGCCAAGGGTCACTCTGAAGAGAGAGGCTCATTCTGGGAATTCCATTGACATTTTATATCTCTTCATTATTGCTGTTTTATAAAATCACCACTTAACTAAAATATTTGTTTTCATAGCATCGTTGTTTTAGTTTGAGATAACTAAGTTGAAAAAGCCTAACTCAAAAGCTATAATATTATTCAGTCTCAATTTAACAGCAACAAACTCAAATATTCTCTTGAATTAAGAGAAACACATGATATTAATGTTTATTGGACTCCTACTACATTTTGGCAAGCATTGTGCTTTTATAAATGATCTCACAGACAGGTATATAATCCCCATTTTACACATGAAGCAACTAAGAAATACAGAAGTTAAGTCAATTGCCAATGGTTATTTAGAAAGTCACACTCAGGACTTTTTGGTCCGAAGCCTGTTTTTTTCTATATGCTACACACCAAAATCAATTATGCTATGGCATTTAAAATAAACCACACTAATTACCACATGCAAAGAAATCCAAAAGCCACAATGCAAGTTTCCACAGAAGGCATTCATTTGACAATTTGGCTTGCAAAACAGAACACATGACATTAGTATTGGCTAAGTAAAATCTCAAGTTGTAAGAACAGAATTTTTTCATGCCTTATTTTGAATAATCAGTTACCTCAAATTGGTTGAAGTGGGAGTGCAGAAGTAAGCCAGAAATCCTACCAAGATATTGCCACCGAGAGAGAGAACACCAAAGACAGAGAAAGAAAGAATGGTCATCTTTACTAAAGGTTATTTACTCAGACTATTTTAAGGATATACAGTAGAAAAGTTTGACAAAATGACATTTTCCAGTATGTTTTCTTTATTAACTAGCTCTCATTTTGTGATCAGTTAAGTTTCAAAATACTGAGTAGTTATAGAAAACATGTGTTAAAATCCTTCTAAATTATCTACTTGTTCATACCGATATTACAAAAATAAACAGAGAGAATTCTGCCAAATTTCATAATAATCTGAAATACAAAGCAACCATACTTTATCTATTGACTTAATTAATGTGCTATTAGATGAAAAATGTAAATAAAAAATTACCTTCACTGCTGCAGTGACGGCAGCAGTAGCTGCTAAGTTTAAACCTTGCCGCCCAAAGTTTACCATCGTCTCATAGCCTCGTTCCTTTGCTTGTACAATATAATCATCAATCTCCTGGAAAAAAAAAGAACCCAAACCCATAGACATTAATTATACTTAAATATAGCATCAAGAAGCCAAAAAATAGGACTCCCCCACCATAATATAATCATTTCACTAATTTTATAGCACAAAGCATGTGATGATACACATTTCTAACAAATGATTTATGTAAATAATTTAAATATCTTACCCTTTCCTTTGAAGAAAGAAGTGGATGAAGGAATTTTCTATATATTAAACTTGCTCCTTTGGTATAGGGAGAGAGCAGCCATATGACAAAAGCAATCTTAAGTTCATAGTACAGGGGGAACCTAACAAGAAAAAATTCAGAAAAACACTGATGAAAATAAACTAAAGACAATGATAATATCACAAAAAAAACTTTAAAGTTCAGTCGCTGTGTTAAGTTTTAATGTAAAAATGAGTGATCAGAGAAACAATTATGTTTGAATCGACAAATTAATCTCATTAACTACATAGATCAATTAATGAAAGAGCAACCTGATCCCCACAGATTCATATCATCTAGTCAAGATTCTTCTGTTTAAGCAAGCATAGTGAAGCTGCCAACTGCCTGTACAATTCAGAGGGCATTTACAATGTTTAAACAGGGCAGTAAGGTACACCCACTCTGTCTGCAGAGCCCAATTGCCATGGCAGTACCAGTATACCTCCAAGCATCTGGACACACATTCATAAACTCCAAGTGCACAATATTACCCCATACACACATCTTCTCTTTCTCAGAACTCCCAGAAAACTTACACTCCAATCTCACTGGCCAAAATTGTGGCACTGTGCAGACCTAAATCATTCACTTGCAAGGGGGGAATGGAATTACCACTGTGGCAGACTGAGAATCAGAGTTAGATACCCATGTCTTTTTTTATGTGACTTTACAGGACCTTCTCTGTAGGCTGAGTATACTTCCAAGAAGTGACGGTGGTTTTAAGCATGTGACCTGCTTTCACAAACAGAATATGAGTGTGACATGTACATGCAAGGTGAAGCTTTAAGTGCCCTTTGACTCCCTCACCCCAACACTCCCAACTTCTTGCTTTAAACTTTTGCTTTCTGCCATGAGAACAAGAGCTTCTTCGGCCTTGGTCCCGAAAAGAAAACACACTTAAGATAGCTAAAGCCAGCAAAACAGTAGCCAACCATTTGCCCTGATGAAGCATGAACAGAAATAAGTCTGTTTTTCTAACCCATTGTGCTTTTAGGGTTGTTTATTGCCACAGCAAAATTAACTAATACAGCAAAAGGGGATCAGCATCCTGTGGTCCAAGAAGCACTAAGATAATATGATAACTGAACAAATCTGGACTCTTGTGAAGAAGCAGATGGGTATCAGGCAGTAAGGAATGACTATAGTCGACAAAGGGTCTCTGCCACAGTGCAATCACAGAGGAATTTCTGGACCCGCATTGTTTGTGGTAAACTTTTCCTACATTGTTCAGTTTTTAGAAATATATGCTACATTTGCAATCAGAAAAAAATAAGAGGTCTTTAAAAATAGAACTTTCAAATTTAAGATCTAACATGGTTTGGAATCTGTGTTTTGCCATTTAAAAATAAACAAACAAACAAACAAACAGAAAACCCTCTCCTAGATCCCTATAACAAAAGATAACAAGTAAATGAATGAGCTTTAGGACAGAAAAAGAAAGGAAGATGAATGAAGATACTGGACAGAAAAGTTCATAAATAAGGGCAGAATGTTAAGAACATTTAACACTGATGACTTCTGTTTTTTTCTAGCAATCCAATGTGACCTAATGTGCCGTGAGAATATGATGAGAATAGCAAATTCAGAAAAAGACAGTTGAAGGAGAGAACATTAAATGTCTGAAACAGACAGATGCAGGAGGGAATGGAAATAACAACTGACTAAAAGCAAGTAAAAGGAATGGTAAAGTTCAATTTGATACCTATATGAACCTCTGATTGATTTTTTTCAGCTCATTTAGTAACCTCGGCACAGAAGCAAAGAAGAGGAACTGTTGCACTTATTTAGGCTGAAAGTTTGTGCAGCAAGAGCTGTTGAAGATAATGATAAAGTAGAAGTTTAAAGATTTTGAGAGGAGGACTTCTCCAAGTGGATGGCAAAGTTTAGATGGAAATGCGCTACTGATACACAGCACAAGGAGATTCGAGTTGTCTCATTAAGTTATTTGCTCCTTGGTAAAATGTTATATCCTTGAGAATATAAACATGCTTTAGTTTTGTCTCAGCTATTTGGAATATAGCAGCCAAGGAGCTGGTGGACAGTGGGTGTCTGTGTGGATGGTTATGTCATCCAGTTTGAATGGGGAGTGAGTGTTAAAACCAGAGGCTGTGGGCTTCAAAAGAGGAGTCATTTAGAAAGTGATAAAGAAAAATAACCTGAAGTAATCAGTGTGGAGAAAGGATGATAACCAAGTTTCTCTTATTCCAAGATACAGTGAGGCATGTGTGAGGTGGGTAGGGAGTGGCACTTGGGGAGAAGAATGAGCTGCCTTTATCTGAGGGGGACTATAAGGAAAGTAATGTTCTTATGGGGAAACCAAATGAAGAAAATGAGACATTGGATAATTAGGTAACTTGATCAAATTCATTTAGTTAACAGCAAGAGCAGAATAGAACTCAGGATATCTGATAATAAGTCCACATTGTCTGGCCTTTTCTCAATACTAGAACTTACCAAGCGACTGTCTGATCTGCTACTGTTTCAATCACAGTATAGAGTGCAAAAACAATCCAGTACATCATCCATCGAACCTAGAAATAACAAAAATAGTTATTAAATGATAGACAAATTATTTGTAACTCTTAGTAATTATATATATATATATATCATAGATATATTTCTAGATAGCATGTTGAATCAAATGCAGAAGGCAATGGTTTAATTTTCAACAGGTTTTATGTTCGAGTTCCTCACATCACTATATCAACAGTCTTGAGATATAAGAATCAAAGAATAACAAATCTCTGGGACTGATACAATGTAATGTAGGGATCTGAATGAAAGAGTGGAAAAATAAGATATAGTTTTCTTAATTGAAGGAAAGTTCTTTAAAAGACCTTATTATCTCTATTCTTCTTTTGGGAGATTATTAGCTATTTAAGTATTAAATAAATAATATAGTATAACATGATATGACCACATTTAATTTTTGTTGGTTTTTCACATTCTGTATTCCTTATCATCTCCATATATAGAAACTGTTCAGAAAACAAAGAACAATCCTGGATTTGTAATATCCATGGTGCTAGTCATGCAATTTGAAAGTCTAAGGTTAGCATCTTCTTCCTCTTCCCTTACATATAAGCCTGTCACCTCTCATACATCCTTTCCTTCTCCAATACCACAACGGTAGTTGCAATCGACTGAATGTTTGTGTCCCCTGCCAAATTCATGTTAAAATCCTAATCCCAAATGTGTATTAGGAGGTGGGGCTATTGGGGGGTGATTAGGTCATGAGGGTCAAGCCCTCATGACTGGGATTAATAACCTTCTAAAAGTGCCTCCAGAGAGCCCTCTCTCCCCCTCAGCCTTATGAGAGCACAGCCAGAAGATGGCTGTCTGTGAACAAGGAAGTAGGTCCTCACCAGAACCACATCTGCCAGCACCTTGATCTTGAACTTCCCAGTCTCCAGAACTGTGAAAAATTATTTTCTATTCTTATTAACCAGCTGGTCTGTGGTACTTGTGTTATTGTAGTCTGAACGAACTAAGACAGTATTTCAGGACATTTTTACCTCTTGCCTGGAATAGAGCTTCCTGACTGGTCCCTGAGACTCTGGTGTCTCTTTGTACCCATCTTCTTCATAGAATACATCCGGATTAATTGTTCTTGAACTCATCCCCCTAAATTTATCCCTTTCCACCTACCTGAGTACACAGACTCTCTCATTTCTCAAGTAGGTTAGATTTTCATTAAGGATTCAAATTTCTGCTTTTCTGATCAGTAACATAATAATAACCAGTACACAAAACCATGCCAACTATGGGCTAGGGACATCACATATAATAATTCACTTATTCCCCCAACAACATTATGAGGTAGGAAACATTACTTCTACTATAGATAATGAAACTGTGGCACAGAAAGGTAAATGACTTGATCAAAATCACTTAGTTAGAATTTGAATCCAGGCTGTCTATTGAATTGGCGTTATTAACCAATTATATCATGTAGAAAAAACTGAGGAATTGCTGAATATGAGGTCCAAGAATAAGTACTATGTCCCTTGTTCTTATGCCAGTAAGATAACAAAAAAATATTTAGGTCTCTATAAATAGCTGGAAAATTGACCTAATTAACTAAAAAAAAAAAAAGAAAAAAGGAAAAAGGAAAAAAAAGAAATGAACTATTTGGTTTTAATACAGATGTTTGCGTGGGTATTCCACAGACAATGTGAAGCTATAAGTAGCTTTAATAGTTTTCTATTTACATGGACAAATCAATTAAAAATAGCCGTGAATAACTTCTGAAGCAATGTATTGTGAAATATGAATGAAACTAATATATTCTAATATATAGAGAATCCTAAAAGCTTAAAAAAATTGCTCAAAGAAAATAAGAGGACACGCTATATCTGAAATACAAGGAAACTACTTTATAAGTTTATCATCTCAAGTTGAAAAAAAACAAACAAACCCAGAACAAATGCACTCTTTAGTTTTTCACTTTTCATGAGTTCTCTTGAATCCTTGCTGCCGCCAATCCCAAGGTTTTTCCCTCGATATGGGGATTTTCTCCTAGGGCTAAAATCCTACATGTGTTTTCTGCTTCCCGCCCCCGCCCACCTTTTTATTTAAAGAAAAGCAATGCTCTCATATGAGTTTATTCACTTAGCCTTTCTTAAAAAACACTGATTTAGAACTTTTACTTTTCAACTATATTCACAAGGTTATCTCCCAAAAAGAAATGAAGAAAAAAGAGTGCAAAGAGAACAATGTGCTTTTATAGAGCTACAAGGACCTGGGAGGTGATTGAGCTTTTTTGAACTACATGACCCTATACTGAAAAAAAAATTGTGAAATAATTACAGGAGAAATTGCTCTGGTTAGTCCTCCCATTCTACCCACACAGGACTCTTGAGGAGACTCCAAGAAAACCTAGCAACCCATGAGGCAGAGTTTGAAAATAACAATATGGAAAACTTCCATTAAGGGCTTAAATAAGTAAGTTGCACAAGGTCATTGAGTTGGGAAATGGCTGAAGGAGGCACAGTCTACCTTGAAGCCTGAAGGAGGCTGTTTTTCAAACAAGTGGCTGCCATCAGACCAATATTTTCAGTTCTCTGTAACCCTCCTATACTAAGCACAGGGATTTCAGTATAACATTATCACCTCTTCCCTGGGAAAGTAGAGGCTTAACTTAAATTCTCTCTCATAAAAAGTTTAGGAAACTTTCAGAAAAATAAAATGATTTAAGTCAATGCTTGTTATTTTTCATTATTTCAGTTTCACCATTATGGCTGTGATCTTCCAAATGGAAAACAAACATAAATAATACTCTACAAACAGTTCTGTTTGCAGTCCACAAAGAGTCATACTTTGCACGTTAACAGAGTTGAGTAAAGGTAAAAGGACTGCACAGATAGTACTGGTAATACTCCTTGAAAGACTAGTTCTTGAATGGATTAGAGCTGCTACGGATTTCAAAAGCACCCCAACTTCAGTAAAGTCAAGTACTTATTCAGTTTTCACATGAAATTATCACATTAATTTTAAAGCTAACAAAATAAGTAACTGCTTTTAAGTATACAATGCTTACCTCTAAAAAAGCAAAAGAAAAACATATTTATTTGGGTTGCAAAAATATTTGGTAATGTCAAAAATAAAAAAAAAAAGGAGAAAAGAAAAAGAAAAGGATGACTCTTTTAGTTAAAAAAAAAAAAAATCAAAAATCAACAAACTATCCAATCTATAGGGTATTCCTGAACATTTTCCTGGGGAATTAGCTATAATCTTTCAGCAAAACTCTATGGTTTTAAATTGTCTTTAATGAATAAATTCCTTGACAATCTGCTTTCTTAAAACTTAAGAAATTTTTGTTCTCCTTAAATGTAGTTGAATCCAGGCCATAGTTAAGTGAATTCAATGAGTGTGTGTGCGTGTGTGTGTGTTTGTGTGTGTGTGTTATTCATAGGAGCAACCACAAAGAAAGTTAACCTTGAAAAGATATTACTTCCTTTCTTCCATTAATGGATTTGATTGGGATTTTACACCAAATGATTACTCAGCAAAGTTTTTATTAAAACTATACCTCAAGGCTGCTCAGCCTACTGTGTAAGGTTTTGCCCAAAGGAAAAACAGACAGAAGTCAAGGTTAAAAAAAAGAGGGCAAGTCACCAAATTATAAGTACAATTAAAAACATGTTGATAAAATATTCTTTAGATCAACAGAAAATATCAACAAAATGCAATACTAAAACCAAAAAATTGGTGAGAAAACAATCACATTGATGACCTTATGAATGTTTATAGCCAAATATAACAAATAAGTGCTATTAAAAGGTCATGCAAATAAAAGAAACTTAACAGGTAACTTTAATACATAAATCACAATCTACATTTTAAGTTATTAAAAAAAAAGTTACTGGCATCATCTTTATAGGTAAAAATGTATGTTTTCAGCAAAGGTGAAAAATAGTTTTTCCAGTTTAAAAACAATTCCTAAAGTGCTTGCTTCGGCAGCACATACATTAAAATTGGAACAATACAGAAGATTAGCATGGCCCCTATGCGAGGATGACACGCAAATTCATGAAACGTTCCATGTTTTTAAATTCACACTGCTGATGTAATAATGTGGGACTCTTCTAAAAATTATAGTACTGTCTTACGGTGTCTATACTAATTAAATGCATGTGTCTCTCCCCCCAAAAAAACACAATTGGTAAAATTAGCAAAACGTTGTTTAGAATATCTTCATAAGAACAATGCATAATAAGAAAGCTGTACCTTTTTTCTTTTAAAAGAAATTTTTAATAATATTTTTTTATTTTTCAACTACAGTTAGCATACAATATTAGTTTCAGGTGTACAACATAGAGATTAGACATCTCTATAACTCACAGTGATCACCCCAATAAATCTAGTACCTCTCTGACACCATACATAGTTATTACAATATTTTTGACTATATTCCTTATGCTGTACTTTGTATCTCCATGACTATTTTGCAACTACCAATTTGTACTTCTTAATCCCTTTTCCCTTTATCACTGACCTCCCCAACTCCCCTCCCATCTGGTAACCCTCAAAATGTTCTCTGTATCTATGAGTTTGTTTGTTGTTTGTTATTTAGATTCCACATATATATGAAATCATATGGCATTTTTCTTTCTCTATCTGACTTACTCCACTCAGCACAAAACCCTCTAGAGCCATCATGAAATATCTTTTTCTATCCCTTTACTTTCCATCTGTGTGTCTTTTAATCTGAAGTGAGTCTCTTGTAGGCAGCCCATTTAAGGGTCTTGTTTTCTTATTCATTCAGCCACTCTATCTTTTGCTTGGAACACTTCTTTTTCACTTGAAGTACTTGTTGATAAATACGTAGTTATTGCCATTTTTTACTCATTATTTTTTGATACACATTTTTTTTTCTTCTTCTTAAAGAAGTTCCTCCAGCATTTCCTGTAATACTGGCTTGGTGGAGATGAACTCTAAAGGAGCTTCGTCTTGTCCAGGAAGCTCTTTATCTGTCCTTTGATTCTAAATGATAGCTTTGCTGAGTAAGTTTGGTTGCAGGTCCTGAGTTTTCATGACTTTGATTTTGTGCCAAGCTCTTCTGGTCTGCAAAGTTTCTGTTGAGAAATCAGCTGACAGTGTTATGGGAGCTCCCTTGCAGGTAACTAATTGCTTTTCTCTTATGGCATTTAAGATTCTCTCTTCGTATTTAACTTTTGGCATTTAAATTATGATTTGTCTTGGTGTCAGCCTCTTTGGGTTCATCTTGTTTGGGACTTTCTGAACTTCCTGGAGTTGTAGGGAAGTATTCCGTCATTACTTCTTCAAATAGGTTTTCAATTCCTTGCTCTCTCTCTTCTCTTTCTGGTGCCCCTACGATGCAAATGTTATGTTTGATGTTGCCCCAGAGGCTCCTTAAACTATCCTCATGTTTTTGCTTTTTTCTTGTTGCTGTTCTGATTGGGTGTCCTCTGTTACCCCATCTTCTATGTCTCTGATTCGATCCTCCATTTCATTCACTCTGTTGATTCCCTTTAATGTACTCTTCATCTCAGATATTGTATTCTTCATTTCTGACTGGTTCCCTATTATGTTTTCATCTCTATTTTTATGTTTTCTATCTCTTTGTTAACATTCTCACTGAGTTCATCCACTCTTCCCCTAAGTTCTTTACAACCAGTGTTTTGAACTCTGCATCTGGTAGATTGCTTGTCTCCTCCATTTTAATGAATTCTTTTTCTGGAGCTTTGTTCTGTTCTTTAATGTGGGACATGCTTCTTTGTCTCCTCATTTTGGCTGTCTCTCTGTGTCTGTTCTATGTATTAGGTAGGGTTGCTATGTCTTCTGGTCTCGGTAGAGTGGCTTTATGTAGTAGGTGTTTTGTTGCTATGTCTTCTGGTCTCAGTAGAGTGGCTTTATGTAGTAGGTGTTTTGTGGGGCTCAGTGGCCCCTGTAAGGGGTCCAGCTGCAGGCCAAGTTTAGCCACAGCCTATGCACCTCCGAGGCCACCTGGTAAGCATCACCAAGAATAGCTGCTACCCGTGCTGGGCTTATAGGTTCCTTAAGGAGCCAAATCAGAAACCAAGGCCAGATGCCACTAGTGAGGGGCTTGGGATTGCTCAGCAAGAGGTATAGGGCACATTGAGGCCAGATGCTGCTTTGAGTTTTGTGAACCTTTGAGATTTTGGAAAAGTCTGTAGCAATAGCCAAGACAGGCCATTTGTAAGGAATAAACCACTGGAGAAAGCTTGATTGGGCCCACAAGTTGAGAGAGGTGGAGTAAAGGGAATCCCCTTGGTAGAGGGACCTGTGTTGTTCAGGTTGAAGCCAACTCAGATATGGTGGCACCTGCGTCTACACGCTGGGAGCGGGGAGGGATCAGCAAAGGAACAATGCACTTCTGTCCAGGAAAAAGCTGTCTCTCCATCCCTTGCCCTGAAGCCCGACAACTCAGTTCCTCCCTGTATGTTCCTGGCACTCCTTGAGCAGCTGCCCCAGTACTGGAGCTCAGAGTAAGTGAGAACAGTAACAGAAACATGACATCTTCTGTCATCAAAGATTTATCATTTTACTGGGGGGAAAAATAAGTAAATAACTGATAAAAAAAAATGTTCCGTTCTTTTCACTACACTAGATGCTCTAGTTCCAGTATGAGTCAAGATCAGAAAGATTCAAGGAAAGCTTACTATTTATAAGGTTGTGAGCAAGGTTGAGTAAAATCAACAAAGGACAATACTGCATCCTTGAGCATTATCCCTAGGTGTGAAGGAGGGAGGAGTAGAAAAGGTTTACTGAAATCCAGAGAGGGTAACTCTGGATTTAAGGGGGGGGGGCTGTAGCATCAGTCATAGCCAACTGTGGGGGCAGGGAGGAAGCCAGGAGAACAATATCCGACCCATGCTCATCCTGCTTTTGCATCTTCTGCAGGAGTCCTATGGGCGAAACCCAGAGAGAAGCCAGAGCTGATATAGTCTGCATAGATCAGCCTCCTGGGTCCTAAGCAAGGCAGAGAAATGTGGAGCGTGGAGGGGACACTCCACTGGAAAGTGTGAAGGTAGGAGGGCACTATTCAGCCTGTTAGCTCTTTAAAACATAACCAGAAGGGAACCATTTCTCACCACTTACTCAGATCCCTCCCTAGACCAGATGGCCATCATCTCCTGTCTGGATTATTCCTATATTGTCCTAACTGCTCACTCTGCTAATTTTGGGGTCTATTCTGCAAATAGTAGTCAGAGAATTTCCTTAAAACAGAAAGCAAATCATGTCATTTATCTGATCAAATCACTCTGATGGCCCCCAACGGAATTCTTACCACAGCCTAGAAGGGTCTATGGATCTGGCACCAGCTACCTCTCTGGCCTCATCTGCTGCCACTCATTTTTCCCCTGTTCTACTCCAGTCCCATCGGCCCTTTTACTGTCCCATGTGTGTGTGGATATGCTCCAGCCTCAGGGCCTTAGTACATGCTGTTTCCTTGATTGAAATGCTCTTCTCCCAGTTACCCATGTGGACAGCTTTCTCCCTTGCTTCAGGTCTCTGCTCAAACTATTATGAGAGATGCTTTTCCCGACCACTCTGTTTAAAATCTCAATATCCTCCTAACTTCCTTATCCTGACTTATTTTTCTCTTTGGCACATATTACGTATCACAGACACATCTAACAAATATTTGCTTTCTTCCCTTGCCTTACCTTACTAGCATGTAAACTCCAAGAGGACAAAGACTTTTATTTTGTGCACTGTTGAATTCTCTGTGCCTGGCATAGAAGGTGTTCACTCAGTAAGTATATGTTGATGAATTGTTGAATGACTATGGGTCTGCACATAGAGCTTAGTGTGTTCCTTTTTGTTGAGACTGCAAAAGGCTAGACAGTAGATAGGAGGTAAAGACATGATGAGTAAATATAAACTAGTCTTTTAAGAAATCTGGTTTAAAGAGAAAAAAAGGAGAGGTGGGAATAAAAAGTAGCAAGAGGCAAAACAAAAGCATGTTTACATCCTCACAGATGGCATATTTGACCTGGGAGATAATGAGATTCAAATTGTCAGAAAGCAGAAGTACTTAATGGAACCAGATCCCAGATGAAATAGAAAAGATTAGGAAGAAGAGTGGGCTAAAGAAAGAAGCAGGAGGCACCTTCCTCTGGGACAAAAGGAAAGAAAAGAATGGATGTGTTAGGAGGAGAGTTGAAGTGGTCATAGTGCATCTTTACTCTGCAGTAGGAGGGAAGGTCATCTTTTAAGGCTGGGTATGAGTGGATCTGAGAAGAGCAGTAAAGGTTTAGAGAAGTTGTTTATGTGGATGGGAAAGGGAGCTGACTATGGTGGAGATGGAACTGATTATGTGACGGAGAATGCCCTTATCTGCTCTGGGTGTTAGAGATAGGGGGCGGCCATGAAAGGTCTAGAAACAGAGGTGACAACTAGCTGTCCATAAAAAGGCATATTAATAATAACAGAGTTGTGCCCCCTTTTGCAGGTAGGTGGGGTCATATGTCCAGTTCTCACTAACAGAAAATGAGCTGAGGCTTTTGAGAACCGGGTATATCTTCCTCACAGGCTATTCCCCTCTTTCTGCTGGCTGGGAGGGCATGGAGCAGAGCAACCTTGGAAGCTATGGGTTGAAGGTGGGCAGAGCTCCAGCTCTTCTTAAACAGCTGCACAAGGAGAATTCCTTGCTGAAATGAACACCTAAGCTGGATTGTTATGTGAGAGAAAAATATAGTTCTATATTCCTTCAGCCATTGCATTTTTGTTGCATATTATAGTTATAGCAGCTTAGCCTACCCTAATATGAAAGGTTACACTGTAATCTCTGTGGAGATTCAAAGATCAAGGCCATGGCAGGAATGGTTCAAGAATTAGGTAGGCATCGGTAACAGTGCCATAGCTGCCATCTGTGGCCACAGCCAGTGCCTTGGTTGGTGGTGATGGGTGATACTACCATAATGGTGTGAAAGTGGAGAAGAGGATTACCATTTTAAGAAATTCTTGTTGAGATATCCCCAGGGGACCCTCAAAAAGATTTGGGAAGATGTTGGAGGATAGGAAGGATTGATGTTCTCATGTAGTAGATTAGGGCAGAGCC